ATTCCAATACAGCAGCTGTTTCTAACTTTCCCTTATTTTGGATACTTCAAATATACGTAGGCATCAGGTATTAACGCGGGCTATTCTTGAGGTCACTTGGCACTCACTGCTCATAACTTTCTTATAGTTTCATGTGGATTAGGATGAAATCATCCTATTACATTTTTATGGTGTAATAATTTAACCTGCAATAAAAATGCCCATTCTTCCATAAAACAGAGCATTAGAAGACTCCTTGCTGCATAATAGTAAAAGATGTGTGAGTAGCAGAGAGAGGAAAAGAGTTGCACAAAGCCCTTAATTCTTCTTCAAGAAACTTTATTAAATACTCTTCCAACTTAATGTTTAATAGCTATATTAAGATAACATAATTTCTAGCTGGCAGGACTATTGGCAACCTATAAAAAGAATTACAAAAGTTTCATTTATAATGAATTGGTGGAGTATTTTAGCAGATAACAATAATCTAAAATCTCTTTCTGATACCAATAATTAGGTTCTTTAAAAACAAGTCTTATCCTCTGGGTAGTAGCATGCAATATTCAAAACTAGACTATTTAGTTGACTCATTGGAGATTGTCTCAATTGTGTACTATCAAAAACATTCTAGAATTGTATCTACTAGATAGAGATCACCTTTCCACATCTTAAAATACCTAGCCTGTCAACTTTGCAAAAGCCTGTCCCAAATCAATTAATAAAATAGGATCAAAAATAAGGAGAAATTTCCTGACAGAACAATTAACCAGTAGAATGGCTTGCCTTCAGAAGTTGTGGGTGCTTCATCACTGGAGGCTTTTAAGAAGAGATTGGACAACAATTTGTCTGAAATGGTATAGGGCTTCCTGCTTGAGCGAGGGGTTGGACTAGAAGACCTTCAAGGTCCCTTCCAACTCTGTTATTTTGTTATTCTGCAATTTCAGTGTAGTTAAACTGTCATATGCACTTCTAAACTTATGAACTATCCTGAAACCAAACAATCTTTTTGAATTCAGTGGCTTTTAATCAGATTTATATTACAGTTACACCAAAGGCAGATAAGATCACATTCACTGTGCCAATTATCATCCAAATTCATTGATTAATTTTGATATAAAAATCTTAACAGAGTTTAGCAAATAGATTATAAAATGATATTATTGATTATTAAGAATGATCAAGGGGGGGTTAGAAAAACTAGGGAAGCAGCAGGCAACATTAGCTTAATGTTAGATTTAGATTTTAATAAAAAATAAAGATCAATTTGTAATGTTATCATTAGATGCAAAAAAGCTTTTGACAAAATATATAAAAAGTACATGTTTGCCACAATAAACAGCTTCAGATTTCCTTTGGAATTCATAAAATGGATCAAGATATTATGTGAGTCACCTATATCTAAATTAAAGTTTAATGGCATGCTCTCTCCTATTTTCCCACTAGTTAGAGGAACTAGACAAGGATGTTTATTTTCACTCTTGTTTTTCAATATTTGTGTGGAACTGTTGGCCTGTGAGGGAGATCTATGGAGTAGTACCTAATTCAACTGAACATAAACTTTATAGTGTTGAGAAGGAACAGCATCACAGATATGTATAGACACATATTTGTGAATTTGTACGTGTGTGATACATACTTAAGTATGCAATTTATAAACACATACCTAAATATATGCATTTTAATGTAGATATTTTTTAAAATATCAACCTTTCTGGCACCAGGAACTGGTTTTGTGGAGGACAGTTTTTTTACAGACCGGGGGAGAGGATGGTTTCTAGATCCTGCATATACGCAGATGAAGCTTTGCTTGCTTGCCCACCACTTGCAGAGCTCGATTCCTATCAGACCACGGACTGGTACTGGCCTGTAGCCTGGGGATCCCTGATTTAACTAATCAACTAACATCACTGATGTTTCATTTTCTGGCTTTCCAAGACATCTGCTTGATGCCATGTAAGGCGCAACAAGACAGCATATAAACCTTAATTTGCCTAAACCATGCCTTGCAATCTGCTTTTTTAAATGTTGAAAAAAGATACATTAGTAACTTATTTAACCTCTCATAAACCCTTCCCTGGGCCTCTTGTAATTCAAGCCCTGATAAATGAGGATATTGCAGCATGGCTTAGTGCTAATTCCTGCCACATGTGTACACTCTATTGAGTAATTCCGTCAATCAAACTTTGCCAATGAACTAAATTTTGAGCTGTTTCACTGTAGGCTAATGTGCTATAGAAATTGGGACAGGTTGTGTTGACTCATTCTCCTTGGCACTTCAGGATGGAATGAACTGAGGGCTGAAACTTAAACCAACAACTTAAAGAAATATATGCAAAATGGAAGCGAATGAGGCTTAATTAATTTTCCATTTCTGGGAATTGCAAAATGAAAAAGAACATACAGATGGCTTTTTCAATTAAGTTAAAGATATCTTCGTATTTATTAGTCTCAGTATGAATAAATGTATTCAGCAGTGATCTGCCAGTGGCCAACAATCACTGCCAGCCATTACCGATCAACAGCAATCAAACAGTTGGTCCTGGAATGGGGATGAGAACAGACAAATGAAATGGCTGCCCAGCCTGTATAGCTCATCACTTTCAGTAGCACTCTGAGGTCCATCTCCTGCACAGGGAAAATGCTTTATGCATTACTAATACAAGGAAATAATCATTAATAAAAGGAATTTGGTTGGTAGGATTTTGCTGCTGTCATTGTTGTTTTATTGATACCAGGAGGACTAGAATTTAGTACTAGAGTACTAAAGAAATGGATTGAGATTGTAATCAATGGCATCCCTTTAATATATATTTTATCTAGATAAAATAACATAGTTTACCCACATAAAATAAGTTAAGCCAGTGATTCTCAAGCTTAGTAACTTTAAAATTCCACTTTGTGGAATTCTGAGAGTTGTCATCTATGCATCTTCAAGCTGCAAGGTTGAAAAATACTGTGTTAAGCTATGCATAAAGATGACTCTTTCAAGCTGAATTCAATTCCTGGTGACTACACAGACACTATAAGGTAGTCTTATTAATAATATGGACCTAGTTTGCCATTACCTTCTGGTTTTGTTTTTTTTTTACTTTGCCAACTCGCCTACAATCCTAAGATTTTCTGATGGTTTTCCATTCAAGAGCTAACCAGGTCTGACTCTGTTTTATTTGGCTCCACTAGATGTTGTCAAATTTGTACATATGTACACACACACACACATAAATACATATATTTCAATATACAAATAGATATAAACACAGTTTGGATATATGTATACAAGTTGTATACAAAATTGCCAAGTTGCACTCTTACATGTACATTAGGTAGTATATTCCAGAACTGCATGAATGAATGAATGAATGAATCCCAATCAGTTGTAAGCCACATGGAACTTTCAGATTAATTTCACTGTGCCTTGGATTAAGTTTATGGACTCTGTGCAGCAAAATCAAGTCATTTCTGTCTTTTGTGTTGGGAGGATAGAAGAGAAGGAGAAAAGGAAGTCAGAATAAAAGAAGTACAGAGTCAGCAAGACAGACTCCTCACATGGTTTTGGCTTCTTGCTAAAAGCCATTTCTTCCTTAAGCCCCATCCACTACTCATAACTGACAGCCTTTCCTTTTATAAACTGGCTCTTCTCCTGAAACGGCATTGAATTCTCTCCTTCATGGGAGTCCTGAACGTATCTTCATGAACTAATCAGAAATTTAAATTCAAGACATTGCTCCAAATCCAGGATTCTAATCCTTCATTACCTTCACTCTTGCCTCCCACCCCAGTTCCATGGCTTTCTTTCCTACTTAGGTATGATGATATTTTCTTTTGGTCTGAAACATCCAGATACATTGGAATCAGTTTTGGATCTTGGCTTTGACTATTTCCAAAGATATTATTGTGTTTTTCTTTTGTCTGGATGAATCACAATGTGCAATTTATAATGCATGAGAGAAGAAGACATATAATATTTTATAGGATTCCATATTTGCTTGCCCTTTTTGCTCCATAAAAATATTCTCCATGCTTCAATTTGCACAACTAGATCTTGAGGTCCTCAGTCTGCTTCTGTTTCTAATCAACAATAACAAAATAGAGTTGTCAAGACAATGTTGTATTATGATGATAATGATTGGGATGAACCCAATGTTTCTAAGTCACCAGAGAGAGTGTGTACATGTGTTTATTCAGAGAGGTGCATATGTTTACTCTGATAGCAGAGCTATAAATTTTACTCTTTCTTGGGTAACTAGGATAAATTGGTAAACAAATTTCAGTAAGTTTAATTAAGGAACAATATTGCTTGACCTTGTTTCTTTGATAGCAGACTATTATTCTGCCATCTAGTATATTATATTTCTCTAGAAAAAACTCACATGTAAGGTTATTTTGAAAGCAGAGGTGTTTAAGGACCTGCCTGAATTATCAATTGAATCACAGGAAATAAGAAAGCCTGGAGAGTGATTTAAATGGCTTTGTCTGTTTAGAAAGCACTGGAGAGAAGTTACAAAGCACAGCAAACAAAAAGACCATCTGCAGAAAGAGAATTTATCAGATGTCTTCCTGTTTCCTCTTATTTTTCAGTTAAGCGTAATCAATTTAACAATTATTCATAAGAAGTTATAATATCAAGTATTCCAGACAACCTGGAGCCCTGGTTATAGCATTAGGATAGTGATATCCTGAGTGAGCAATGCCAATATTGAGGAATTTCTTTTTGTCCCTATTGTTAGGTGAATCAGCTCATTTGTACCTCTGGGACTGTCATGCACAAAACTACATTTGGGGTTCTGCTCATCTCCAGATTTTATGATGTTTAAAAATTTTAGGTAAACTTCTGGGTATTAGGAGACATTCATATAAAAATGCAAATACAAGGCAGGGTGATATGTGTTTATGAGTAAGTTCCAAGTTAAGCTAAGCTAAAGAAGAAAGTTTACCAGTTTCCTGATATGATGTATGGCATATAATATTCTTTTGAAGGGAAACCGTAGAATCTGCTTTGACGTTCTCTACCTGCTTAATAGGGAACCAGAAGGACTGGGAATGGAATCTAACAAGCTGATAATGATACATGTGAAAAGATTCTGCTAAAGACCAAGAAGCAGAAGCAAACAAAATGTCAGAACAAATGATGGAAATTGCCAAGAAAAAGAGAGAATGCAAAGACAAGAAAAACAAGAACTTCAGAAAGGAACTTCTCAAAGTATTTCAGTGTCCGGGGCTCATGTGATCACTTTTTGTGACCTGACGAGCAAAGTCAATGGAGAAGCCAGTTTCACTTAACAACTGTTGTCACTAACTTAACAACTGCAGTGAATCACTCAAAAACTATGGCAAATGTCTCACTTAGAGACATATATTTTGGGCTCAATTGTGGTTGTAACTTGAGGACTATCTGTACTGGCTTACTCATTCCTAATAATCAGCACTCCATGAACAGTTTTCACTTTTTCAAAGTATGATATGAAGTATGACTCAAGAACTGGATTTATTTATTTTAAATTATATCAGACTGGATTTATTTATTTTAAATTATAAATTGTATCTCGGGTTTCCGATTCAAAAAGCACATTTACTAAAACAAAACAAAATATATGCCTACATAATACGTCAAGTCTCCCTCAAACTGAGTTCTGCTCCTGGTGACTAGCTGGACAGAACGCATAAATAAAATATCCATAGACTAAAAATATACGTAGAAATAATGTTTCCAACAACGAAAATATTGATGAAAGTATAAAAACATAACATCTTTTAACTTTTCTAAATTCTCTTTTTGGACTCCAGGAAACATAGTAAATAGAACAAGAATGTGATTTATTATTTGCAAAAAAACCCCATATTTTGTTCAGAACAATGAAAGGAAATCAAGTCCGATAATTTTGAAAGAAAGCTCTAATTTTATTAATATCGTATTTAATACTGAAGCAAATATTTCATTTAGTTAGGGAGCCCTTCAACTTTTATAATGTTACCACAATATTAATATAACATGACATTTTTTTCTACTGAGGCCTTCTGAGTCAGCTCTCACCTTGTTCCCTACCTCTGCCTTACCACCAGCAAGCTGGAATCAAAATACTAATCTGAATATATGTTGGATCATGATTTTGAAAAGCAAAATAGACAGAAGTACTACAAAGAGAAAAAAATATTCATGTTTTCTTGCCAGCATCATCTTGTGGCTCTGGAGGAATTACTATTCCCCAACGATATTGACAACCTCTGGCAAGGCGATGGGGCAATCAGCCTAAATCAATTCCACTTATTTATTTTTGTCCATTTGCATGTATGAAAATGTGTCAGTGACTACTAGAAAAGAAAAAAAATTAGAAGAAATATAATGGAGTAAGTGATAATATTGTAAACCTACTGAAGCCATTTGATTTTAAAATTTGTGCTCTGGAAAATATACTCTGATTACCATCTGCTTCTTGTTACATTTATTCTCACAGTTTGTCAAATAATTGATAAATAAAAAGTATTTTGAGAGGCCACTCAGCTTGTATTTTAAAAATAGGACTAATACTCCCTAAAGACCAGAAGGACAAACTGGGAAAGGAATGTGAACTCTGCTAGTTGTGTGTCACTGGTTTTATCCTACATGCCTGCAGAACAGATTCTTGGCTGCTTCTCTTAAGAAGGAATTTTGCACAGCAATGTTTTCTCCTGTTTCTATTACTTTCAGGTACTCCAACTGTAGCTGCTTCCTGACAGCACTGCCATCTCTTGAGGACTTAAGAGTTCGGGATATATTGGAGCTAGGTTAAGAATGACAAAGAGTTTTATCCGATAGTTTTTTTTAAGTCTGAATGACAGGTTACATGCACCTGGGGGGGGGGTGTATCATGAGACTGGAGGGAGATGTCTGATGTTCACCTCCTCCACTTCACAGACCTGTCAGCTAGATTATTTTTGGACACAGTTTTAGCGTGCCACCAAAAGAAAAGTAGACATATGACTAAAAATGCATGAAGGACCATCTCTCTCCAGTGGTCTCCACCCACTTGATTAGATGTGTCAGGAGGACTAGGCCTCAGATCCCAGCAATTAAAGAAGGTCATCTCACAGGATGCAGGAAACAAACCTTTTCTATCACAATACGTACTTGTCCTCTGGAGAAATTCATCGCCTGAGATCAGATTAGTCCCATCACTGCTGGCTTTCTGTAAAACTTTGAAACCTGCTTGTTTCAGTGCTTTTCAATCTAGAACTAAGGAGAAATTTCCTAATGGTGAGAGCAACCAACCAGTGGAACAGCTTACCTTCAGAAGTTGTGGTTGCTCCATCACTGGAAGCTTTCAAAAAGAGGCCACTTATCTGAAATGGTATAAGGTCTCCTGTTTGAGCAGAGGTTTGGACTAGATGACCTCCAAGGTCCCTTCCAACTCTATTATTCTATGTTCTATGTTCTTGTTTTCCAAGACACAGAGGTCATAAAGTTATTCTGGTGTTATGTTGTTATTTTACTATCAGCTGCCAGTTTTGTTTTGAATTATATATTTAGCACTGTATGTTTTAAAGTTTTGTACTGTGGTTTTTGTTTAAGTTCCTGAGGTAAGGAGCAGCCATAGAAGTTCAAACAAATAAACAAATACGAGGCTTCATCCTAAGCACCGTTTTCTACATGTTAATGAGGGCAGTAACGGATGGTGGTTTCTTACACAGGCAATTGGTGCTGGCTGGGTGGGAAAAAGGAAACCCACTGATTATTGTGCAGTTATAATTCTAACTGTAAGGAAAGAGCTCTATGCACTTTTATTATTGAGGCAAAATACAACTCAGGCATTGGACAATAATTTTTGCAGCTGATCTTTGCAGCAACATTGGCAAAATGCATATTAACATGTCTGCAATCACCATCCTCAACAAAACATGTGAGGACTGAGCATTTTCCCCACCCCTTTATTACTTTTAAAGTATAGGTAGCCCTCGACTTACAATGGCTTGTTTAGTGACCATTCAAAGTTACAACGGCACTGAAAAAAGCGACTCATGACCGTTTTTTCAAACTTATGACCATTGCAGCATCCCCTGTGGCCACGTGATTTACATTCAGACACTTGGCAACTGACTCATATTTATGATGGTTGCAGGGTCCCAGGGTCATGTGATCCTATTTTGCGATCTTCTGACCAGCCAAGTCAATGAGGAAGCCAGATTCACTTAAAAAAAAACTGTGTAACTAATTTAACAACTGCAGTGATTCACTTAGCAAATGTGGAGAGAAAAGTCATAAAACGGGGCAAAACTCACTTAGCAAATTTCTTACTTAGAAACATAAATTCTGGGCTCACTTGTGGTCGTACGTCAAGGACTACAGTTCCTGTATTACAAACTTTACAGCAGTTAAAAGAACTGGGATGGGCTTAACAAGAACACTGCCCATTTTTGTAAATTGGTGCTTTGTTTCATCTAAGCAGCAAAAGGCCCCACAGCGGATGGAGTGTTGCTCAGAAAATTAATGTGCTGAAAAAGGAACAAGCAACGGAGAGTTTCTTTCCTTCTGTGCCTTGTCATTCATTAACAGTGGTCAGTTGTCATTCTGTTCTGGGAGGCAGCATAGACGAGTCCTGTACTATTACTGAATGCATCATTCAGAGGGACACAGGAAGGCTTTGGGTGTACTTGTTATGTTTTTCTTTGCCAGTCCGACCAGCATTTTCCCCTTTCTCCCTTGCAAGCCCAAGCTGATCTCCAACACTTCACTGGGACACAGTGACCGCTCAGTAATATTATATGCTTGCATATATTCACCTATTTAAGTTGTGCAGCTAATTGGGGGGCAGGGAAGGGAATATTGTTTGGATGGATCTGTTTCCTGTGTTTTGGATTCTTCTTGCCTCTGTAGTGATAATGTAACTCAGAGATGGCCAGATTTGAACTGCAGGTCATTCCAGAGTTGAGGTGATGCTCTGTGATTTGAGTCACAGTGCTGCTTGGACAATGGACAGTTGCTGGAATGTTGGTGGCCAGGTTGTCCCCTTGGTCTTCTTTGCCTTGTTCTCATCATGATATCATGACACATTTCTATTCTCCATCTGCCTGTCTAAGCCTTTCTTCTTGCAAATTTGTTTTAGCTTTATACAGCACTTTGCAGCGCAAGGGCTTTATAGTTCCATCTCTTTTCAGACTACACAGAGAGAATGTTATTGCTAATGCAGTCAAATAAACACTAATCCATCACTATAAAGTGCGTGACAGACCCAGGGAAAACTCCCTGGTTTTCAGTGGTAAATCTTGTGAAAATATCCACAAAAGGATTAACCCTCCCTCCCTAAAAGGCTTTAAAAAAAAAAACCCTGGCCATGTGTATAGCACATGCATGACTTATTTAATGTTTGTTATTTTTAAAAAAACACTCGCTATATTGTGTATGGCACATATCCAAAAGCAATGTGCAGAAGATTGTAATAGAGGACACACTGGTATTTTTCTATTGCTCAGCAGTTAAACTATTCTTATGCTTTTATCGATTTCCAGCTGGTAATGTATTTTAGATTGGAAGTTCTAAATATGGCATCTGTAAAATTCTCTCAAGTTCCAGAACCCAGTTACTTTATTATTTAAATTCTATTTGTTTGGAAAAATAAGAAGTTAACATTGCAAAACAAAATTCCAGTCTCAAGCAACAATATCTTCAGGTCCTATAAGTATCCCAAGGGCACTCTTAAAAAGTAAAACGATAGGGAGTCGCATAAGTGTTTTGTCTAGAACTGTGCCTTCATGCCTTGAAAATAGCCAGATGTAATCAGAGATAATATAGAGCAGGGGGCTAAAGAAGATGATACTGCACAAATTATCTATTTACTTTCTGTAAGATAATTAGTTGATGACTGACCAGGCACTATTCTTACTCTGACATGTTATTTTAATGAGAACCTATAATATATGCTCCAAATTCCCAATATGATCTCAAACTGTTTGGTAGCTGTCCTCTAGATGGATATTGATTGTGGAAGAAAATGAGCAATGAAATTCTTCTCATGGCATTTAAATTGGTATAGTTTGTCATATTTACAGGACTTGAAATGATTTGGAGCAGGATGCAATTTTCTTTTCATGTCAATATGCATTAAAATTCCTATTCTTTTCTGGCTGTACATCACTGAATGCTCCTCTTTTTACAGATGAATATCACTGAATCTGGTCTAACCATGTCATTTTGCTTTTTCCCCTGTGAAGACAGGGTAAGTGTGAAATACATCCTTCGAGTTTGGAAAGGAGGAGGAAAGAATAAGAAAAGAGGAGGAAGGAGGAGAAAAGAGGAGGAAGGAAGAGAAAAGAGGAGGAAGGAAGTGGAAGAAGGGAGGAGGAGGAGGTATAAAGTTTTCTAACAAAGTAGCTATGATGTACAGTAATTATAGGTACAATCCTTGATTGTTGATAGATCAGTTTGTGGAGCCATTCCTATCCCAGCCTTTCCTGCCTTTTTCTAAAAGCTAATCCAAACTAAGCAGCTAGAGCAGTGATGGTGAACATTTTAGAGACCAAGTGCCCAAACTGCAACTCAAAACCCACTTATGTATTGTCGGGTGCTGGGTGGGTGTGGCCCGTTGGGTACGTGTGGCCAATTGGGTGGGCGTGGCCCATTGGGTGGGCGTGGCTGCAGTGGTAACAGCAGACTGGGTGGGACTAAAAAGTTCAATCAATCAATTCCAACTTTGCGAGATCTTTTTTTCCCCACGAGAAGTAGAAATTGATTGAAAAAAGTTGAACTCTTTTTTTTTTTGCACAGTGGTGGAGGCCTAAAGCAAAAAGGTGATGAAAGTTAGCCCAGAAGGAAATATTAAAAAGGGCAGAAAAATATATTTTTCCTCAAAAGGACTTTTTAAAACCAAATTTGGCCCCAAATCTATCTCTCTGCCCCAAGCAAGAGCTAGGCCCATACAAATGCAAATGTAAAACCATCAGAAAGTTGGAGCCAGAGCAATCAAGAAGACAAAAGAGAAGATCTGCATACCCCACCCAAACTCTAGGAGTCAGCCCCATCACCTGGGAAGCAGGATATGATAATAGAATTAAACCACAGATATCAAGGCCTAGACAAACACTCAGAAACAGCCTCAAGGTTCATGCCACAGGAACAGGAAACTATTCCAAACAAGGCTAGAGGGGGTATAAAAGCCTACTGCCCCATGTGCCCTGCCCTTCTTCTTCTCCTTCTCTCTCCTCTGCACTTTCCTGAAGAACCATCTTTCTGCAATAAACTGTAACCTTCTTCCCAAAGCAGTCACCATGTTTGCTTATTTATTCCCGGCTTGGATGAACCAGGATGAAGACTTTATTTCTAACAATTTGGCACCCCGAGATGGGACTCCAAGCTAACCTCTCCAATGGACTGAGACTGGTAAGCCCCATCTTGCCGGCAGCAGACCCCCTTGTGTCTGTGGATGGGTTTCCCAGGCCTTGCCCATGTGGAGCTAGGGTAGTAAAGGGAGTTTTGAGAGTTTGAGCTCAAGGGCTGCTTTGGGAAGAAGATGAAGGTGAGTACCTC